GAGGAGGAGGAGGAGGAGAAGTAAAAGGAGGAGAAAGGGAGAAAGAGGAGGAGGAGGAGGAGGAGGAGGAGGAGAAAAATAAAGAAGAGGAGAAGGAAGAGGAGAGGAGAAAGGAGAAGGAGGAGAAGAAGGAGGGGGAGGAGAAGAAGAAAAAGAAGGAGGAGGAGGGAAGAGGAGGAGGAGAAAAATAAAGAGGAGGAGGAGAAAAAGAAGGAGAAGGAGAAGTTTCCTCTGTAAGATGCAAGTCAGCTGGAATGCTTCGACTTTTCTTCAAGGAGGTGTTTTTTTCCAGTCATTCTCAAAGCAAAGCCCCCCCTCAAAGATCTCCACTACCACCCTGCCCACTGCTGTCCAGTTCATTTTCAAAACCCCTTTTTAGCGCTTTATAAATTCATGAAACAGTCCTGGTTTCTTGCTCGCTCCTTCCATCCCTACCGTACATTGATCGTAGACTCGCTTCATTTCCAGTAATGCCTGCTAGTTTCCTATTATGCATCCATCTGCCTCTGTAATTGAATTTGCAACACTTTGCCAGAAATCTATCTTTCTTTAGCAACACCGATAATGAAGAGGGAGCTAACTGTGAAGCACACCCGTTGGCAGCCCCCAGAATTTCCTTGCCAAATGTGATCAAAGATTGTGGCTATTAAAACATCAAATCACAGGGCAGTCATGTTGCTTTTTCATGTGGATTCTGGCTCGCCCAAGGCCCATCTGGGGAGGGGACTGGTAAAATTCAAAAATCTTTCCCTTAGGATCATTTTGCTTGTGGCTACATAGGGATTCTAGCCTGCTTCCTCTTTTGACTCCATCCTCCAGTTCTGGCACTTCTTCTCCTTACAGTTTCAATGCTAATAGTCCATAATAGCTAACACTTCTGAAGAAATTTGAATTATTCTTTCGGTCTTCCTGTAAATCTATACTTGGACCATACTTACGGATAGTTCTCAATTTATTGCCATTCGTTTCATGATGGTTCAAACTTACAACAGGTATGGAAAGGGGGTCCCACGGCCTGTATTTTCACTTAGACCATTGTATCACCTCTATGGACATGTGAGCATAAGTCAGCCGCTTGGCAACCAGCTTGTATTGACAACTGGTTGCAACATCGTGTGATTGTAATTTGGGATTATTACTTTTTTTTTTTTTGCCAGTTTCTGGTAAAAGGTGCCCTTTGGGGAAGCTGGATTTGCTCAATTTGCTGAACAACCTCTGATTCTCTTTGACAATTGCTGTTAAAAAGGGTCATACAAATCAGGCCTGCCTCAATTTATAATTGCAATAATCTGCCATGGAAATTCCAGTCTCAACTGTGGTTGTAAATCAAGGACTACCTGTTATGGGCAACCATTTTTGTTCTGACCCAAGCCAAATTAAACAAACCCAAAGTATGCATAAAAGCAAACCCTTTTAATGTGGCGCTGTGAATTCTGTTCATTCACAGCCAAGAGTCATTCAAAACTAATTGTCCCAGATAAGAGCGAGCCCTTTCAAGGTTGTGCAAGGTTGCCAAGAACAAAAGACTAATTGCAGATAAATATCCCAAGCCAGAAGTTTCAAAAAAAAAAAAAACCTGGAGTAAGCAGAACTTCAACGAGGACTCGGAACAGAAAGAAATTCTTTGCTTCCTGCAAAGAAACCAACCCCAAAGGCTGGCTTTTATCCCTTATGGGAGGGTCCATCACCTTCTAGCCTTACTCCCGAGTCGCCCATGCTGCTTCAGCTGGTCTTTCCTTCGAGCAGCCCTGCGCGCACGTGCCCTGAGCACAGGCTCCCTGGGTCCCTCTTCATCACTGCTGCCAGACTCCACAACCTCCGCAGGCAGAACCCCACTCTCCGATAGTCTTAGCCCCACCCCTGCATCACACACAGGTCCCTCATCCGAGTCCTCACTCTCAGAGATCGCTGCTGTCTGCACCTGCTGCTGGCGGACTACAACAATTTTTGGGTTCAGGACCAGTGGTGGGATGCTGCCGGTTCGGACCGGTTCTCCTGAACCAGTATCTCCGATGATTAGCTGGCCCCGCCCTATCTGCCCCACCCTATTCTGTCCTATATTTCCACGTTTTTCAGCTGAGCTGATTCGCGCAGCACCGTGGATTCCCGCGCCTCAGCTATTTGACTTACTGGGGCCGCCCAAGAAGGTGCTTGAAATAGACAAAGCGCGCTCTCGTAGAACCGGTAGTAACATTTTTTTGAATCCCACCCCTGTTCAGGACCACATGTGGATGACGCAGAATTAAACTGAGGGCACTGAAAAGATGAAGCAAACATTATCCCCAAAAAGAACGTGGGTATTTTCATAGTCATAGAAAAACCACTTTTTATAATGCTTAAACCACATGCAGTGTTTTCACGATGGCCTTCCTGGACCACGCTTCTATCTTGACCCTCTTCCGAGGAAGATGATAATGCTCATTTCTTCACTCCTGCAGGCTGCCCGTTCTTCATCTGTGTCATTTCTGCAACAACATCTGTGGAAAGCTATGGAGAAGTCAACAAGTAAGTTCTGCAAATGAGATACTATAAATTTGTTGTGGTGGTGGTAGCCCCTTTGAAGTATGTGGGGGTTTGTGGATGGTGTCATGCATCCATATTTGCTCCAACAGTCGGCATTGAGCAGTCTCCATGAATCCATATCTTGGCCCAATGTCCTTAATGCGGCATCCTTCAGGTGTATCTTGAGAATGGTGGAACGAAGTCCAGAAGATAGCTTTGTCTTTCTTCCACATCCAGGTCATGTTAAGACTAGCAAAGGTGGCATTCCATTTGCAATGTTAGTTCTCAGGTGACCACCTTCCCGAAACAACTGAAGTGAAGATAAAACCATGGATTCTCTCCCTCTCTTATGTTCCTTGAACAAAGACCTGGAATGAAGCAAGCAAGCAGGAGAATCAATTTTTTTTCTGCTGTCCATCCCATCCCAGCTACATATTTTTTAAAAATCAATGGTGGTTTGGAACTCATAGACCCACCATCTCCATGCTACAATGTCATAATGTCTTCCCTTCTTTCTTTGCAGCTGTTGGCTTTCATTGGAGAGCGGCGCCATCTGGGCTTTTGTGGCCCCAGCTCTGTTCATCATTGTGGTAAGTTTGTCTTCCTTCTCTTCTCCCTTAGAAGCTCCCAGTGGAGCTGGTGGGATGACCATGGCCAGCCACATTTGACCGTATGGAGCTCAGCACTGGTTGTGCCTTTTCCAACCAACAGATTTTCTGAAAAGCCATCAGTTTCACCAGATGCACCTCCCTTCACCAGAGGCCTCAGATAACATCTGTGAAGGATGCTGCAGCTCACAAAAGCTGGTGCCTTTAATAAAACTTGTTCATTGGGGAGGTGGGGGGGGAGTAATTACCAGGTGTCTCCTGTCTTTTTACTTCTATAGATCAGTGTTTCTCAACTTTGACCACTTAAAGATGGGTGGACTTCAGCTCCCAGAATCCCCAAGCTAGCAAGAAGATGAAGTCCACCTATCTCCAAGCAGCCGTGGTCGAGAAACATCCAGCTCTCCTCTTCCAGTGTCCCATAAAGCAGGGGTCGACAACCTTTTGGACCTCAGGGACCACCAAACTCATAATTTTAAATCCCGTGGATGAGAGACCCTGGGAAAATCCCCCAAAAACTCTGCAGGGAAATTCCCTACTGTGTTTTTCTACTGATCAATCATTCTTTATTTGGGATCGCAGGATACCATCCCCAGCTCCGTTCTCAGGGGCAGAGAGAGAGAGAGAGACTTTTTGCTTCATGCAAGGAAAGCAGCAGAAGCAGCAGAAGTCTTTCTTTCTCTCCCCCAAACTCCGCCAGAATGGCCCAGCCTCCTGGAGCAGGATGCCTTGCAGGGTCCCAAAGACTCATTGCTGGTGGAGTTTGGGGGAGAGAAAGAAAGACTTTTGCTGCTTTCCTTGCGTACAGCCAAAAGCAGAAGAAGAAAGAAATGGAAAGAAGCAGCCTGGTGGCCAGGCAAGGCTCGTGGGGTGAGTGAGGCAAATATCCCCCTTCACCCTTTCTCCCCTTCCCTCACTACCTTGTGTTGTTCGCAATGCAAGCGACGCAAGCTTTGCATTCCCATGGGCCATATAGGTGGCACAGCCTTGTGTTCCCGCACAGCCTGCATTGATTGCTTTGGGGGGGGGTGACATTTCTTTGCGGACCACCAAAATCTTCCCTGGCCCACTGGTTGGGGACCACTGCCATGAAGGATCTGAGATGGCCAGAGGCCATTTCCTAAATCATGGGAATGAACAAAAATTAGAATGTCTATGGAGATTCTCATTCATCCAGGTCACAGTTGCCCCCAAAGTGCTTTTTCAAGAAGCAGCTGGAATTTGTTTTCCTTTGAAGACCTTTCACTTCTCATCCAAGAAGCTCAGTTCCATTCCGTTCCATTCCAGTTGTTTAAGTGAATGACTGCAGGTGTTAGTTAGTTAGTTTATTTTATTGATTAGCCCTAGGGCCATATCAAAATACAGAGTTTCAGACACAAATTATTACTAAAATCTGATGAAAACAATTTAAAATGGAATTGGAATAAAATACAATTTAAAATAAAATTGGAAGAAAATACAATTTAAAATGAAATTGAAATAAAATACAATTTAAAATGAAATTGGAATAAAATACAATTTAAAATGAAATTGGAATAAAATACAATTTAAAATGAAATTGGAATAAAATACAGTTTAAAAAGAAATAGGAATGAAATACAATCATTATTGTATAGATAAATAAAACATGATAAAATTATATTTCGGTATCAGCCCTACAATCTCCTCCAATCAGTCCCACCTACGCCAATCTCAACTGAACCATTTTGCTTAAGTCTTGTGCGGTGTTAAATGTTATTTTCAGAATCTGGCCCTCACATAAACCGTATTTTATTCCCATTTCATTTTAAGTTGTATTTTATCCAATGCCATTTTAAATTGTATTTTATCAGACCTGAGTAATAATTTGTGTCTGGAACTCTGCACTTTGATATGGCCCAAGGGCTAATCAATAAAGTAAACTGAAAACTGACTTCAGTCAGAACCGAAGAAGCTTTTGGGATGAGAAGCAAAACGTCTTCAAGAAGAAATGAAGTCCAGTTGCCTTTTGAAAAAGGACCTTTGAAAAAACAAAAGTTATGGCTGCAGCATCCTTAAAGGTGAAGATAAAGGTTTCCCTTGCACATATGTGCTAGTCGTTTCCGGCTCTAGGGGGAGGTGCTCATCTCTATTACAAAGCCGAAGAGCCAGCGCTGTCCAAAGACATCTCCATGGTCATGTGGCCAGCATGACTAAAATGCCGAAGGCGCACAGAACGCTGTGACCTTCCCACCAAAGGGGTCCCTATTTTTCTACTTGCATTTTTTAAGTGCTTTCGAACTTCTAGGTTGGCTGGGACAAGTAACAGGAGCTCACTCCATTACATGGTGCTAGGGATTCGAACCGCCAAACGGCCCGTCTTTTTCTGATCAACAAGCTCAGCGTCTTAGCCACTGAGCCACTGCAGCATCCTTAGGTTTGGAAGACACAAAGAATCCATAGTTACCTCAATCAAAAGAGGGGCTCCTAGTAACCCCGTGTTCCACAGGGGTGAAAAACAGATAGTCTATGCGTTCTCCCTTTCTTCTGGTTCTAACCTAGCCAACTGAATGACACTTCTAGTTTTCTCTTCTACAATTGCAGTTTCGAACAGTCTGCTCTCCCCGCCCCCATCTTTCACAATGAGAAGCAGTATAGATCCACTGCTACTCAGCCGTGCAAGTTAATAGCCTGCTGCCCCTCCCAGCTTTAACACTCCATCAAAAGAGGAGAAATAAAGCAACTTTGTTAACTCCACAACCTGCTCCGGGCACATCTGTTGGCTGTAACGAATGTCATCTTCTTAAGTGGGATGTTGTAAGTTCATGATGGGCCTTCCTGATACATAATGTATGAAGGATGCTTTAATGATATCCGTGCCTTAAATTGAATCAGATCTGTGGCTTAATCACTCAAATGGCTCTTTAGAAGTTGCAAGAGATGGTTGGGTGTTTTTTTTTCTTTTCCTTTTTCCCTGATAGATTAAGGAAGCAAGCGTTCTTCTTTTTAGGCGATCCTTAGCCCTGTCTTCTTAGATGTTTTTATCGATCGAGATGTTCCTCTGATGATAAGAAAACCCAGCCATGGGTCATTCCTGACAAACGGAAGAGTAAACACATTGACCGAGCATTCACGCTGTCATCGGTCATCATCTATAAGAGGTTCTCCATGTGCCTTGGTGGGTTGTGTGTTTGGCAAATCCGAAATGGCAATTGGAGATTCATTTTGCTTGTCCTAATTTTAACTGGGCTGAGATGATGATGATGATGATGATGATTACTATTATTAAATCTTTAGTGAGATTCACAGCCTTTGGGGGCTGGTTGGTAGCTCAACAGCTCGAGTCCTAACTGTAGGAACTGTTCGGGTAGCGTCGGAGGATATAAGCTGTTCCAAATAGGGTAGTTTTTTGTAGAATCATGTAGAATTACTAGTAGTAATTATTATTATTATTAGTAGTAGTAGTAATAATAATAATAATTGTTGTTGTTATTACTACTACTACTACTACTACTACTACTACTACTACTACTAACTAGAAGGGGCATGGTCTGGTTTTGTAAGACATCATGTGCCTTGGGACACAGCTGTGTGAAATTATTTCCTTGGTATGCTGTGACATTGCTGTGGTTCAGGTGTGTGGCTGGGGTAATGAACTGGTTGAACAAGACCGGACAAAGTAGACAACTAAGAAATATTTCCTGCTGGTAGAGGTGTAAAAGAAATAATAAAGCATACACAACAACATGAGAAGAACTCAAATCTTCCCTGCCTGTTAAATTTTCTTTACTGTCAGCCCTTCCTTCCTTCCTTCTTTCCTTCCTTCCTTCCTTCCTTTTCTTGTAGACATTTTATCACCAAACTAGGTAACATAAGTATAGTATATAAAATCATACATTCCAATGTCCTACCTGTCAATGAATACTTCAGCTTCAACCATAACAACACAAGAGCAAACAATAGATACAAACTCAAAGTTAATCACACCAAACTTGATTGCAGGAAATACGACTTCAGCAACAGAGTGGTCAATGCCTGGAATACTCTACCTGACTCTGTAGTTTCTTCCCCAAACCCCAAAAACTTTAACCTTAGACTGTCTACTATTGACCTCACCCCTTTCCTAAGAGGTCTGTAGGGGGTGTGCATAAGCGCACCAACGTGCCTACCATCCCTGTCCTATTGTTTCTTTTATTTCTTTTATTTTTCTGATATGTATCCATGTATTCATAACTATGTTTTTACTTATACCCATTATCTTGTGAGCAATTGACAAAAATAAATAAATAAATAAATAAAAACATCATCAGTGCTAGAAGTGAGTTGGGTTTGCTCCCTGTTTTTTATGCCCCAACACAATTCCTCCAATTAAAGAACTACCAACTCAATAAAAAGCCTGATCAAGAACCCCTAAGATCTGATGGGACAAGCCACACCATTCCCTTCAAGCACTAATGATGTTACCTAGTTGGATCATGAAATATCTGCCAGAAAGCCACTAAACTCAGAGAGCACTAAGGACCCCATAGTCTTCCTCCTGCTCCCCCCTCCTCCTCCTTCTCCTGCTCCTGTTCCTGCTCCTCCTCCTCCTCTTCCACTCCCTTCTAGCACTAATGATGTTCCCTAGTTGGGTAATGAAATAACTGCAGGAAAACCACCAAGCTCAGAGAACACCAAAGACCCCACAAATGCAACACTATCCCCACTCCTCCTCCAACCTACACGATATTAGGGGCTGGATAGTCCTGGAAACCACAGAGGGGACCTGGGTTTTTTAAGACTTAGCTTTACCTTTCATCTCTTAATAGCATGTATTTTCAAGAGCTGCCCTTAGTGTTTCTTTTGAAGAAATCTGGCTCGGACCTACGCAGCGATTTCAAAAGAATGAACAGGAATTAGATACCCAGTAAGAAGGATCGTCGCTAATCGCCAAAAGAACTTACTCTTCAGCCCGGCCCTTCTTTTATTTCTTAGTCACAGCCTCGACAGGTGTTTGGATATTATCCCTGGCACGGTGGCGCAGTTAT